TCTTAAATTCCATGACTTTAGTTTGCATCATATTATAGTTCCTCGGACCTGTTTGTGCCAACATATCATATTGCTTAGCCTCTCATGCATTTTTTTGCCGGGAATAATGAGCCATTTGCTTTTCTGTGGGCTGTCTTAAAGTTTTTGAGAAATTTATCCTTTTTTTGGGGTAGGAAAAACAGTTTATAGCACTTCACTGCATAAAATAAGGATGAGGAGGTGAAATCAAAAGTTAATTTAAGGATGGTAGTTTATGCTAGGGAAAAAGAACTTGTAAATCCTTTTCATGAAGAAGGAAAGGAAATCAGAATTACCATGAAGAAGAAAATCTTCTTTCGTCCTTTGAACAACTTTTAATTTCAAACGAGTGACGAAATTTTCAGGATCCATAATATAGTAGCTATGGATGCATATATAGGGAAGGGAGTAAGAAAAACGTAAATCACAGGGGTTTGATATGGAATTGGAGTAACTATGACGGGTATTTAATTATTATATGTGCCTTTGTAAAAAGAAGAACAAATAAAGCAAGAAGGAAACGTAAGAGTAAGGAAACAAAAATGCCAAATATTATTCACATGAAATAAGAAACTAAGAAAGAAAGAGAGAGATTACATTCGACTTCTTTTACTTGATCTAGCTACTATTTCCTATTGTCCTTGTTGTGTCTTCAATAGTCAACTTTGGTGGTTATCCTCCTTTTTCCTTTGCCTTGGTTTTCTTTTCTTTTTTTTTTTTTCGGGGGAGGGGGGGCATAAGTATGGTGGTTATCATTTATCAATATACTGCAATGAATCGACAAATGTTTGGTTATTAAATATTTAACTCATAATTCATAATATTATGAATTCAAATTCTACTATTAATTAAGAAAATTGTTAGTAAGTGATTTGTATATATTTTTATGAGTATTCTTTAAATTTAGAGGTATATTCTGATCATGATAAATATTTTAAATTTGACTCACCAAACTTTTTTAATACAAAAATATTGGGCAATTGAGTAAATTGGCTCTTAAACTACAAGTCTAGAAACTTGCGAGGCCCTAGGCTCATCTTTTGTGCAACATTTTTTTTTAATTTTGAAAACAATATAATTTGATTGTTGTCATTAGCAAAAATTACATTTAACATTTAGTTAACTAGAAAAAAACGTCAAAAATTTTATAAAATGAGAAAATTTCTTGGTCCTTTTATGTAAGTTCTTGGTTTTTTTTGTCTATAAATTTTAGGTTATTTATTGTATTTTTTGGATTTTTTGCATAATTTTTTAGATTCATTTATGTTATTTTTTAAACAACTAACAGTCAAAATTAATTTTTATTAATGATAAGAGTCATATTATATAATTTTTAAAAGTTAAAGAGCAAAAAATGAATTCAAAATCCAAATACTTTTAGACATACTGCCTCCATCTTTATATATAAGAGGCTTTCTAAAACTTTTTTTTTATCTTTGAATATAAGATATTATTAGTATATTTTTAATGATTGAACTATTATATCCTTGTTAAATTGAAAAGAAAAAAAAGTATTATCATTAATTTACTTTTAAAAAAATTCATTTTTTTTACAATTTACAATAATTAAAAATAAAATTGAAATATTACTGTACTTTTAATTAGATAATTAATTTTTATTAATTTTCATAATTTAGTTAACAAATCTTATATATATTGGAGTATAGTTTAAGCTTAATTTACTCATTTATCAAAAAAAAAAAAAATAGCTGACAATGATTAAAGGTTGGAATTTAGAGCTGGATGTTGCTCAAGTCCAGCTTTTAAACATTTAAATATCTTCCTCCTATGTTTCTTTTCGCCTCCTCCTACGTATGAAATCAATCTTTTGAACAACCACATGCCTTTTAAAATATTAACCTCTGTTGCAGCACCACATGACCACATACATTTTGTCTTGTTTCATTAATAATACGTTTTTTTTCTTAAATTAATTCTTCGGTCATCTATATGATTGTATACTTTGTTTATCTGTTTCATTATATTTATATTATCGTTGTGTTGATTGATTATGTAAGAAGTAAATCAAATTTATTACTTCCTCTATTTAAAAATATAAGTTATTTGTAACTGAATCTCATCCTAATAAAGTATAATTACCTATTTTCAAATTAATCTTATCTTTTCATAATTATTTCTATTAAATACCCTACAATAAATATTAAGTCATTCATTAATGGGCACACTTTTAAAAAAAATGCAATAATTATACCTCAAAAGCCTAAAATGTTTTATATTTTTGAACATATAACTTCTCAAAAAATACCTTATTTTTTTAAATGGAGGGAGTATTAATTACTTTTTATACAATTATCCATTAGATCAAGGATAAAACTACATTGAGAGCAAAGCTCTCCTAATAAATTTTTAATTGATAAGTAAGTTGATATTGCAGAAATTAAACATGACAGTCCATATGTTTAATCAAACATTTTGTGTGTGCCAACAATCAAACATTTTTATTTATGTTAATTATTATATTATAATGAGAGTATTTTAATATTGAACATACCACATGGATTATACAAGGGAAATAACAATATGAAATTTTTATCAAAAACTATTTTTTATCATTTAAACATTATTGAAATATGCTCATAGATATTAGGAGAATAAAAACATATGTTTGCATGAAACTCAATAAAATGAGCAAAAAAAAAAAAGTTTTTTTAAATAAAAAGTCACATAAAGGGTGAGAAGAACTACATTGTTCATATGGCATATGGAGTTTTTTTTTTTTTTGAAGGATGATGTTACTTAATTTTAATTTTTGAAAATATTTTTAATTTTTCATTTGCCCCAATGAAAAAAAAATGGTCTTGAAATAGGTAAAGCGACAAGTGGTCAACATATGCTTGGATAGGCATCGTTTAATTAGAAGGCAATACCATGTGAAGTCTTAAATTTTCAAAACATTAAAACAAGGTAATCCTGCCAGGTCCATTTAAATAAAAATTTGGTAAGCTAAACTGCAGTGTTGCCCTTGATTAATTATAACAAAGTTCAGGTTAGATATGATTCTAAGGGCCAGGAAATCACGTTAAACAAAAAGGTGATGCCCTTAAAGCAACATCACTTGGACCTTTCAAACCTCAAATTTAAAGAGCGATTTTGTCGTATTCAAATGAAATTAGAGTATTTAATTATAGCCCTAAATGATATTTTTGCTCCTTATCTATCTACTCAATTTTAAACTTGCACGTAATGCAATTTCTTTCCTTAACTTTTAAAAATGATATGTTAAATACTGTGTCATTAAAGTTAATTTTAACTTATAGTTGACACAAAAATTACAAAAAATAACCTCAAAATTATAAAAAATACCCAAAAATTATATATAAGTACCCTAGATAAAAATTAATATACATTAAGTCTTCCAAATTACATCTAAATATTAGGATACAATTATTGTTTCTTAGTCATATAAAATATCAAAATATGATTTTGACCAACCAGCAATTACTCTATTACAAATGCTGGTAAAAATACCAATAAATAATTAAAAAATGTTATATTTCTTCTAAAAATATCATATGAAAATATGCACAATTTAATATATATGATAATTTAAATTTTATTATTATTTACATGTCTTCACAAAAAATTTACAAATTAACTTTTGAGATTTAAATATTTTTTAGAAATTTACAATTTAATTAGTATATCTTATCTTTATAAACGAACATGTTTTTTTTTTTTTACACCAACTTTAAATTTTTGAAGAAAGGCTTATAAATTTTGAAGAAAGGCTTATAAATTATCACACTATTTAATAACATTCATTAATATTAATTGTTTTGTAAGATACTTTTTTTGGACAAATGTTTTATAGAATACTTATTTATAATTTTTGGGTTATTTTTTGTAATTTTTTGTTAGCTAATAATTAAAGTTAACTTTTTTAATATAAGAATGTGCAATGTGTCATTTTTAAATATTGAAGGAACAATTATATCATAAGATATCACTCAATTTTGAATGCATAATTGACAAGTGAAAATATCTTTAACCCTTATTTATAGATGATATGAAAATGACTTTTTCTTCCCCCCCTTTGACAAAGCTATATGATAGATAGTTATGTGAAAACCAAATCGAACCGAATGGTTTAATCACTACCCGTCAAACAAAATGATTTGGTCTAATCAATTAAACCAATTTAGCATTTAGATTGGATTGAGCTGGCTATTTTAAGAGAATTGGAGTTGACCTGAAAACTGGAGTAGGTCAATCGGATCCAAAACCAAAAAAATTAAATAACAAAAAAAAGAAAACCTAAGCTAAGTTGATGCGATTTTTTTCTCTAATCTCTAGTTTTATTCTATATTCTCTTCTCTAATTTATGATCTCTCCTCCACAACCCATGCTTAATCTCTAATCCATCCTTCAACCTTTGCCTTTAGTTTTAGCGATCCAATCTTTATTATCTAAATTGAAAACTCATGAGTCATGATATAACGTTATGTCTCCAACTTTAACATTTTACGTTAAAATCGCAAGCTTATACTAACATGTCTCCACCCCCAACTTCAGCGATTCAGACATTTAGTTTTTGACATTAAAATCCCAAGCACTATCAGCAAATTAATATTTTATTTATATATTTATATATATAAACATTATTTTTATTTAATTTTTATGTTATCGATTTAACTATTAATTTAATCCGTTGAATCATAAGAATTACAATTTGTTATTTTTTTTAGTTTAACTTCGGATCCAACCTTTAAAACATTGATGATAGATTTGAATTTTGTTAAACTTAGAAGAAAATTTGGTCAAAAAAAAACTAAGAAGAAAATTAAAAAAAAAACTTTTTGCCTTTACATAAATTCAAACTCGAATCTATATTAGTAATACGAAAGTGATATTTGATATTTACGTATCAAAAAGGAGCAAGATGTTCCCAACTTGTGTTGGGCACTTACACTGGCTCCTGGGTTGGTGTTGTGTTGTCTTAGTCTGACACATTCACAGTATAGGGATACAAATACAGTGCCAATACCCTCTCTACCCCTCCGTCTCCATTTCTCATTGACCTTTTCCCTTTCCCTACCGTTGTCCTGTGTGCTTCTTCCACCCTATCATTCTCTCTCTGCTTTGCTTCTGATCTCTGAGCTATGACACCTCCGGCGCCGTCTCTTTTCATCCTCCTCCTCCTCCTCCTCTTCCCCGTCATTATCACCTCCGCAACTCTACCTCCCTCTCCCACTCCGTCTCCCACTTCCTCTCCTTCTCATTCATCTCCTTCCTCTTCTCCTTCTTCTCCTTCTCCTTCTTCTTCCTCTTCCTCTCTCGACCCTAAGCAGCTCAGAGCACTCCAATCCCTCAACATCCCTACCTCCAAGGACCCTTGCTCCCACAATGCCACTCTCTGCGACTCCTCCAAACCCTTCCGCCACATCATCTCTCTCCGTCTCTCTAACTGCTCCTCCTACGTTGCTCTGTCCTACACCGCCCTCAAATCCCTCTCCACTCTTCAGTCTCTTCAGCTCCTCAACTGCCCCGTCACTCCCATTCGTTTCCCTCCTGAACTTATCGCCTCTCTTCGCTCCTTCACATGCGTCAAGAGCCTCCACAAGGTCTCTGGCGTCTGGCTCTCTCGCCTTGAGAACCTCACCGATCTCACCGTCTCCGATGTCCAGGTCAAGACTTCCGGTCCTTATGTTATACTTGGACGCATGAACAAGCTCAGGTCTCTCACCGTTTCCCGCGCCAATCTCACTGGTAACCTCCCCAAGTACATCCATTCAAATCTTACACATATCGATTTCTCTGGTAATCAGCTCAAAGGAAGCATACCCGCTTCCATTACCATGTTGGACGGTCTGGAATTCTTGAATCTCTCGTCCAATGCGCTCCATGGTGAGATACCTGCTTCTATGGGAAACTTGATTTCCCTTAAAAACCTTTCCCTGGCTTCAAATTCGTTCTCAGGGCCTATCCCGGGCTCAATATCGGCTATACCAGGTTTGGTTCACATGGATCTGAGTTCAAACCAGCTCAATGGGACGATTCCCAGTTTCATTTCACATATGAGGAACCTCAAGTATTTGAATCTGGCTAACAATAACCTTCGCGGGGTCATGCCTTTCAACTCGAGTTTTATCAAGAAATTGACGGTGCTCAAGCTTAGTGGCAACAGCAATCTGTGCTATAATCATACGGTCCTGTCTTCGAAGACGAAGCTTGGCATTGCTCCTTGTGATAAATATGGAATGCCCATGTCTCCTCCACCAGCAAAGGAGTCCTCTGCGGATGATAGCAGTGATTACAGTGACAGTGACGAGGATGATAATAGCCGCAAGAAAGAGCATCACCATGGCCCAAACAAGGTCGTTCTTGGTGTGGCGATTGCTCTTTCTTCCATTGTCTTTCTGATTATTTTCTTAATCCTCTGCTCAAAATGTTGTCGGTGAAGAAATTTAGGGTTCCTCGCTTTATAGTTTAGATTAGGACAATCGATAATTTATGTGGATCATTATTTGATATTTTTATTATACGCTGGAGGGTGTGTCCTGAGAAGAGAATTTGAAAGGGAAGATGAGAGGTGATTGTCAAAGCAAAGAAGGGAAAAAAAAGACATTGATCAATTCTTTTGGGTGGGTGTAAGAGTAGTGTTCAATAAAAGATGAAGATAAAAAATGTGAGTAACCATTAAGTTAGCTTTCTATTTTTAGCTGCTTAGATCAATTGCTTGTGCATTGCATGAAGTTTACTTTGAATTCCACGCCCTGTCACTGTATCATTTTCTGTTTTGGTCAAAAGGGAGAGGTATTGCGTGTAATATCTTGAAAGATAAATTTTACTTGTGCTATATGAGCTTTGATTTTTCACTCATTTCAGTTTCAGTGTGTCTTTTTTTTTCCCCCCCTTTTCTTGAATTGCGCTGCAGCGTTTAATCTTTCTCCTCTTTAATTTTGGTCATATATTTAGCTTTGCTGGAATTACATTGTGTTTATTTATGTTCTACACAAGCCGTAGAAGAAGAGTAGGCCATATGCAGCTTATACCAAATGGGAAGTCTGTCCTGCCATTCTTTTCATATGAGGCTTTGGTCTCCTTTGATTGTCAATTTAACATCCAAAATTTAAACCTAGGAATCGTTTTCATTTGTATGTCCAATATCTGCCTTTCTAATTGCCCTTGAAACCTTGGTTTTTGTTTTCGTTTTCATTCAGCGACGTTAGCCTTGTTAATCATAGTTGATGATTTGATTTGCTGAATGAAAGCATCATAATGAAAGCTTTTGGGTATGGATGTCTGGTTCGATAAAATGGTTCATACTATGATGTTGGATAACTACAGCAGTTGTCTCTTCTACACTTATTAGGAACCTAAATTAGCTTTCATTCAATTCTGTTCAAATCAGCTCAAATGAACTGCTGCATCTATGAACAAGCATTCGCCAAATATTCTGACCTTGTCCATAGGGAGCACTGTTCTTTACAAATTCTTCTGGTTCAAAATTGAACACACAGTTTCTGATGTTGTTCTGTTATCTGTTCTTTTGTTGTCTGTAGTCATTTTCAATGGCCATAATAAAAAGGTTTCAATCATCCACAAATAATGTTAGGCAATAATATGTCAATTCGAGAAGAGGAGAAGAAAGTTGGTAGAAGTGATGTGACTTTGATGTGTGTGTTAGGCATTACATTCGTGACCACTTAAAATATTATTTATTTGTTTCAATATCTATCTCCTGATTCTGGCAATATCCATAATTTCTGATTCAAATCATAATATGCCTCTTTATACCATTTGTCCACGTCAATCTTATAAACAAGACTCCTCCTTACATCTCCATTTCTTTTAATTGAGTTCTGATTAATATCACCTGTATATATAGTGACATCATATCTCCCAGCCAACAATTACATTTTTTCTTTTCGGGAACTTGGTGTTGTTTTATGAATCGGTGAAATAAATGTTCCTAATTTTTGGGCCAGTAAAGATGCTGCATGTGAATCAGAAAATTGCAAGTTCGGGTGGGTTGTATTCAGACAGTTTGCAGGTGGATTTCTTAAAGTTCATAAACATTAGAGCTGTCCAACTAATATTTTCTATATCCATTCAGATTCCTTCGTTATAATCTTTTACTTTGCATTGATGAACTTGGTTGTCATCATCTATCTACCTTCCTTAATCAACTGTCCATCCTGACTTGTTATTATATTAATTAATCCCAGTCTAAAGACAACAAAATTAAGTCTCCTGGCAATTGGCATGAGGCTACCTGACGCTGATCTTCAAGGATGCGTTTGGAAATTGAGAGAAATAAAGAAAAAGAAAAAAGTAAAGAGAGAGAGAGAGAGATGAGTGGGTTGTAGTTGAAGATTTCTCTGATTAGGACATGCTGGAGGTCCAGGGTTGGTGGATGTGGCGAATGATGATTACTCTACGGCGTTGCAAGGCGTGATGGTTGTAAGTACATGGTAATTAGATTCTTAGGGGCAAAAAGCAATTATTGGATAAAATTTAATGGTCGAGTTGACTTGGGCAGTATCAATTCATTGAGAATATCTTTTTTTTTTTTTTAATTTTTGACAAAATAATGCAACTAAGCTAACCACATCCACACTGAGTGGACAGCTAAAATTTATACCATAAGCATTTCCTTAACACAGAGAGAGAGGAGGGAAACCACATTGGATTTCAGAAAACTCTGTTTTTTGAAGTTTCATGTAACTTTTTGCAGTTTCACTCCGATGTGCATTTTATTAAGAAATTACTGGACAAAAAATGTTTTGTCCAAAAACCTGAGAAGGTATAGGGATAGGTTTACAAAGAAGGAAAACAAGAATTTGTAATGGTCATCCAACTTTTTTATCATCCTGGTATGAGAAGAAAATAAGGAAAGAAAAGTAAAAAAAAAAACCAAAAAAAAAAAAGAAAAAGACATTAGTGGATTAAAGGGATTAACCATTAGTGGCCTGTGAGGAAGCGGTTATATTTCCTATTAAACACACACACACACACACACACACAAAATATGGACGTGGCTGTGAAAAGTTCATAATGCACAGCTTTTTGCTTATAAGATGCCCTTGACATGTACAAAATCAGGTGGCTCATTCAGAGAACCTCTTGCGTGGCTTCCACATGCTATTATAACCCTGCTTCAAACTCAAGGCGCTGCGCCAAAATGCAATTTCCCAGTATTGCAATAGCACTTGTTTAACCATGTTTAAGTTGATTCCCCTGTCAAGATCGATAAGCATGGTCGCGTATCAGATGGAAATCAGAATCTGAAGGCAAACTGAGACTTCCATAAAATTATAATGCTCCCCCACTGTGAATCTGTCAGAGGCTTTTTCCAGTGGAAGTTAGATGGATCATCCATGATTGACAGAACATAGTACATTCCCATTTCCAACACAAGTATAGGACATGTAACATGCCTCTAATTCTACATATGTATGGCCATCCTTAACTCCTCTAAATTGAATGCCTCCATTGATTCACCAGAAACCTCTGCAAGAGCAGATACCTTCTTTAAAATGGTGAAACCGATTAGAATCTCTTAAGACAATCTCCCTCTTGGTTGTCTTGGACATGAACTTGGCCATCTCATGGCAGTCACCACAAACTCGTAGATTCTTGGTAACCCTAATTGTCTTTCCAGGTGGTAAATTTAATATACCAAATGCCATGGCTAATTTCTCACTGTGCCCACATAGAGCCACTTCTTTCTCCATATCATTTGCATTTATCAAGGCATACTTCATATTTGGAGAATACCCTTCATTCTTCATTTTTATTCTGAGTTTCTTCAGCAGTGAGTCTATCCTTTTAGCTTGAGGGTGTGAAGCATTCCCAGCGACAAAAATATTAAATTTTCCCTTGACCTCTATCCAACTACACCCCGGACTCTTTTTAAGTCCCTTTTTACCAATCCTCTCCCTCAACTTTTTCACTTTTTCCCATTTTTCTGCCTCTGCGTAGATGTTAGCTAGAAGAACATAATATCCTGTGTTCTCTGGTTCTAGCTCAAAAACACGCTCTGCAGCTTTTTCTGCTAGATCCACATCATGATGAATCCTGCATCCACAAAGCAAAGCACCCCAAATAGTAGCGTCTGGTTTAATTGGCATTTTCTCAATGAACTTATATGCCTCAGATAGTTTTCCAGTACGAGCGAGGAGATCCACCATGCATGCATAGTGTTCCAACTTGGGCTCAACATTGCACTCACATTCCATGGAATTGAAAAATTTCCATCCTTCGTTTAGTAATCCAGAATGACTACAAGCATAAAGTATGGAAGTGAAGGATATCTCATCTGGTTCAATACCTGAACTCCTCATCTCTTTAAAGGTAGCAATTGCTTCATTTCCAAACCCGTGCATGCCATAGCCAGCAATCATAACAGTCCACGATATTAGATCCTTTTCAGGAATCTTGTGGAAGAGCAATTGTGCAAGAACCAGTGACCCACACTTCACATACATATCAAGAAGTGCATTGGAAACATGAGGATCAGAAGAATATCCATTTCTCAAGATGTGCCCGTGTATCTCTTTGCCTCTCTCAAGAGCTGCTAGGCTTCCACAAGCTGGAAGGACACAAGCCATCGTAATGCTATCAGGTCTTGATTCTGTTTGCATATCAGCGAAAAGTCTAAGAGCTTCATTGGGAAGACTATTTTTTGAGTAACCTCCAATCATGGTGTTCCACGAAACAATGTCCTTAAGTGGAATTTCAGAAAAGACCATATGAGCTTCCTCCATGCTTCCACATTTTGCATACATATCCATTAGAGCATTAGAGAGAGAGAGGTTGAAGCCCATGTTCTTTCTGATGTATTTGTGTACTTCCCTACCTTTTTCTAATGAGCTGCTACAAGCACAAGCATGAAGAATGCTTGTCAACGTATAACTGTCTGGCTTAACATGTTCACTTTCCATTTCATTGAATAACCGAATAGCATCATCATTTAAGCCTCCTCGCACATAAGCAGCTATCATTGAAGTCCATGAGACAACAGTTTTTTGACCCATTTTTTTGAAAACTTGAATCGCATCATCTAAATCACCACATTTTGAATACATGTCTAGTAAAGTATTGCTAAACATGATTTCCCTATCAAAACACGATTTTGCCCCATAACCATGAAGGGCTCTACCTAATGAAAGTTCACCAATATTTGCACAAGCTACTAGAACGTTAACCAATGTAGCCAAATCCACGTTAACCCTTGAAATCAGCATCTGAATGAAAACCTCGAGTGCATTTTCGGATAAACCGTTCTGAACAAATCCACTTATCATAGAGTTCCATGAGATAACATCTCGGTCATCCAATTCATCAAACAACTTGTGTGCACTCTCAACTCCCCCGCATTTAAAGTAAGCCGCAATAAGAGAGTTAGCCACAATATTATGAGAACCAAGGCCCAATTTATAAACATAGCCATGTGCCGTTTCACAATCTCCTACCTGTCCCAAAGCAGCAAGACACTTCATAATACAAGAAAATGTATGAGAATTCCCTTCAATGCCCAGGTTCTGCATTTTCTTAAACAGATATATACTCTCCCGATGTTTGCCGATTTTTGCGTGTTCATACATCATAAGGTTCCAGAGAAAAACCTTATCATTAAGGATCTGATCGAAGATCCGTCTCCCTTCTCTTAAATCTCCACAGTTCACATACATGAAAACTAGTTTTGCACCTAAAATCCCTTCAATTACAATGCCATTGGAAGAGATAATCGAATGAACCCGTTTACCATCTTGCAAAGACTTACGCTTAGCACACAGCTGCAAAATAGAACAATAAGTCTCCAATTCAATCTCGGATTTTGCTGACCTACCGACTAAATCTACGGCACTTTTGAGATCACCCACTTTGCAGAATTCGCAAATTTTGGCATTCACATCCATGTTCGTGACGTCTGCGGTCTTCACAAGCAGGGCAGAGGGACCAACACTCGTACGAGAAACCTCGAAATTTGAATAGACCAGACATGGTCTTGAAGATTGTCCGAATAAAATGAAACAATTTGGAGATTCCGCGCAGATTACCTTATTTTTAGGGCTTTCATAATAGGATAGGGAAGTGCCAAAGTTTGGCAAGCTCTTAGTCATGGTCAGCATTGCTTTGTTCCTAGGTCTGGGAAGAGAGCGAAGGCAAATTACACTGCATGTTACAGACGAAACGATAAACCAACGACATGAAGCAGCTGATTATATTTCAATTTTACTGTCATTTAATAATATGGCAAAATTAATTTGCAGCCCTTCTGACAGAGCCCCGAAGGAACGAGCCCATATAGGCCTCGCTATTAAGAGTTCAAACCTATTAAGTTCAATTATTTTAAAATTGATTATTTTTTAAAGTTTGATTTTTATTCTATGGATTTAAGGTTTGGCAGTAAGTTCTTGTTACTTTATTCTACTTTTTTTTTTTTTTTTGGAAAACCATTTTGATAGTACTCAACAACTTATCGTTTCCCTCCATTTTTAATTTGGCATCTCTACTATTTTTGCTTTTATTTCCCTCCTCTATGTTTCATCCATTAGATGCGTTAAACCCTCTGCGTTTGGAAATCACTCGAGGGTCTTATGGAACACAAAAAACGTTAACTTTAAAGCCAGGAAAATTCGAAGGCAACTAGTGCTAAGGTCATCTTTCACCAAAGAGCATCCTTCATCAGAGAGCTTCGACTTGATCTTCATTCAATAGAGGGCAAGAGGGAAATTAAAGATCTCAATTCCCCATAGAGAGTGGATGCAGACATTAGGGATCTGAGTTCTACAAAAAGCAACTGGACAATTCAATTTCATCTTCATATGATAGGGTTCAAATAGCTCCTTAATAGTTTCTTCGTATAGGTTCATTCGAAATACATACTTGCCTTGATTCGTCTGTTATAGAACGCCCAATGTCCAAACTACATCTTTGTCTGAATAGTTGCTTTGATTCAAATAGGGACAATATAGTAATGTGCCGCTTGGTTGGGACATAGTGGTTAATTTCATCTTTAGTATTATTTTTCTAGTACATCAAATGAAGAAGGGCAAAAGTGTAAAAATGTCTTCAAACCTTTTTTTTTTAAAGAACGTCTAGTATCCTAAAATTTTTTTTTTAAAAAATAATTTTGTCTTGAAACTCTCCAAAATGATGCAATATTGCCCTGCCATTAAATTTGATTAATATTGATTGCTAAATAATTTTTTTGACCAACTAAGGTACATGTGTCATGTTGAGTTGGATAGTTGATTAATAAAAAATAAAAAAAATAAATCAGACATGGGAGCTATCGCCACCAAATCTCAAAACCATTATTCACCACCTCTATATGACTGTCACCATTGCTAGAAAATTTAGATCAAAGAACATACACTAGCTTAGAAATCTTGCTCATCTCTGTAAATCTGCTCATAAAAAGATTTGGTTTTTAGCACCAACTCATAAATCAAAAGCAAAATAAAGTGTCCTAAATAACAAATCAATAGCCCATAAAGGAAGAAAATAGACAAAGAAGTTGTTCCTCGAAGGAAAGCTCTTCCTATGGTTCAAAAACAAATATCTAGAGCAATTGAGACTCAAATTTAGACCCAAATTCATCCATAAAAAGAAGCAAGGTGATAACAAAGTGATAACAAATATCGTACCCAAAATCTTAAAATGAGAACCAAAGTGATAACAAACTCTAAACTTAAATATGGACTTCAAATTCAATGAATAACAAAAAGAAACGTCGAACTAGTGATAATGAAGTTTTAGGTGAGAATCTGAAGTGATCTAAAATTTTTGACTCCAAATCGAATTTACCCAATAAATGATAACCTTGAATGCTTGAGAATCAACAACAATGCCATCTTCCTTCAATGATGTGTGAGAGTCAACAACGACACCATCCAAAAGCTTGATTCAATTCGAGGAATTTTAGTTGAAGATTTAAGGATTCAAGGTAGCCCTTAGTTGGAGATTCTCCTTCCCTCAACAATTCCATCCAAGCTTGATTGAAGATTTAGGAATTTTAACTTGATTCAATTTAGGGATTAGATCATCAGATTCTCTTCATCAAGGTTATGTATCATTGACAAGGTCAAAGGCTTTTTCACCCTTGATGTCTTAGATAAGGTTTCCTTCTTCAAGGATGGCAACGAAGTGTCTGAGGTTTTAAGCAATGGAGGTCTTTATTGATAGTAGGAGGGGACGCTCACAAGAGAAGAAGAAGAAGCAAGAAAAGACGATTGAAGAAAGCAAGAGGCCACATGTTTCTTTTTTAAATATTTTCAAAAGCAAGGTGTCTGCCACTTGTAAGTCAAGTCAAACAAACAAGAATAAATGGTCAACCCTGATACTATATGAAACTAAAGGAAAAGTTCCAAAGCATCTTTGCCTTTTTATCCAATGAAAAAATGGACCCTAAAACGAAAATATTTGTTAAAAATATATGTTACTTCTGCCACAAACTTTTGCTTTTCAATAAGGAATTAAAAACTATACAAATAAGATAAGTGCAAGTTTCTTCAATAGTATCTCTTCACAGGTAACTTTGTCATTTCATAACAAGGTTATGATGTTCTGTGATGCCCACAAAAATTAAGAGACACCGTAAATGTTCAGGTCGCAATTGAAGCTAGCGGTAAATCAAGGTCGATCTCTTAAGAAATTAATTAAAATGGTGATTAGGCATTAAACTTTTAAATTCATTCACGTTAAGCTAATAAAACTAGAGATTCATTTTAGAATAATTAAAATGAAAATATTAAAATTGATTAATTAGAATAACTTTCAATCCACAAACAACTCAAGTCAACAACAACAACAACAACAAGCCTTTATCCCACTAGGTGGGGTCGGCTACATGGATTGCAAGACGCCATTGTACTCTATCATTTATTAAGCTTTTAGGAATATTATTAATTAAGAGATCGCGTTCAACAACTTCCAAGAGTGTTCTCTTAGGCCTTCCTCTACCTCTCTTAATCAGACTCAAAGTTATATGTTCCACTCTTCTCACTGGTGCCTCCTTGGTCTTCTTTGTACATGCCCAAACCATCTCAACCGATTTTCTACCATTTTTTCCTCAATAGGTGCCACCCTAACTTTTTCGCGTACGCGCTCATTTCGAATTTTATCTTTACGTGTATGTCCGCACATCCATCGTAACATTCTCATATCTGCTATTCCAACTTTATGTTCTTGCTGTCCCGTTAGAGCCCATCATTCACTACTATATAACATTGCCAGTCTGATAGCAGTGCGATAAAACTTTCCTTTAAGTTTATTAGGTACCTTACGATCACAAATAACTCCTTTAGCTTTTCTCCAATTAAACCACCCAGCTTGAATTCTATGTGAAATATCTCCACTGATTTCGCCATCATTTTGAATAATGGCTCCCAAATATCTAAACAACTCAAGTCGACCAAGAGAAAAATATTCTAGAGTCCTAACCCATGAGTTTTGATAATCTGAGAATCTAAATTAATCCAAAATATCTTCTGATTACTAAGAATCCTAATTAATTCAATTAAAGAAAATTATTACCTTAATTAATTAATTGCATTAGAAACCCTAACCCATGAGAATTACCTAGGTCCATTAGATACATTCTTATTCTAATAGAAAATTAGTTAAACTAATCTTAGGCTACTAGTTCTCAAAGTCTAGTTTAAGTCTCCTCTTTCAAGATTCAACCCAAATGCCCAAATCTCACCTAGTGGTGGCCAATCACTAAACAAAAACAAAATAGCTCAAGAACAAGTAATCAAAACTTCATTTCTCAACAACTAAATGGTAAATCCAAGGTTATTTAAGCAAATAGGTTTATAGTCCTCTAAAACAAGAAGATTTAGCTACACAGAGATGAAATGAAAACTGTAACAGCACAAACAAAATTTGAATCTATCAACATAAAGGAAAAGAAGGGAAAACACTGAAAAACTAAGATAGAATGAAGATTTTCTCCACTTCTTCTTGATCCCAAGCTTCCAAGACTTCTCCTCTTGCTCTCTTAGGGTTTTCTCCAGTTGTAATAGCTGAAAGGTGCCTCCTCCAATCCAGAAAGGCGAGTTATGTAGGTTAATTTTGCACAAAAAATGAAACTGTGTGTTTTTGCATTTTTATCTGGTGCCATGTCACTAGTAAGCAATTCTGAAAATTCTGACAGTGCACAGGAACTTTTGCTTTTATTTTGTGGACTAAAAAGCACTTTTTTCTTATCTTCTTTCTCGTTCTTACTTTGATGTAGACATACCCTACCTATCCATAATTAATAAATATGAGTATAATATTTACTTACTTTAATTTTTATCATTTTAAACAATTTCCTTAAAAATATTAAAATAAATCCACATGAAGAACTTAATTAATTTTTCTTTATAAAAGTAAGAAAGTGTTTCTTTTTTCCATTGATGACTCTCAAAATATAACAAAAAACATATTAATTATAATACAAAATAGGGAGTCATCATTCTGTCATCATGCAAAACTTGTGCATATGTGAAATCTTATAATTGAAATGGAATATAACTTTGGCATAGTTTTTGTCTTTTTGAAGTGTTTGCTATCAACTTTTCTATCAAAATCTTGTTTCTTCAATACATGATTTTTTTCTCAAAAAAAAAAAGAAATATGTATAGGTTAAGTTTCCATTGACCAACTAAATACTTAGCAAAGGAACTGTGCTTAATTTTGCCTCAATATACTGTTTCTTAAGAATTAATTCTAGTGCAACAAGTTTTCTCATAGTTTCACTTCAATTTGTAGTGTTTGTGCACTTTGGAATTGTTCTAACTGTAATGTCGTGGTCTAATAGGTACTCAAATTTGAATTTAAATTCATCTCCATTTGTGAAGCTACCTAAGCTAGTTCCTAGAGGAAAGATAATTCTAATGCAGACTTTTGGTGGTTATGGATATGTAGTTCTTTCTGACTTGCTTGAGAACTTTCAGGGCCTTTAAAAGATTTAAATTCAAAGCCTTGAATTATTACATGCATTGTTGTAATTTTCTTTCTCCATTTCTTCTTGGTTTAAAGCCTTGAATTATTACATACATTGTTGTAATTGCCATCCTATTAGTCTTGGTATATAGAATAGAATAGAATGAAGTTGTATGTAATGAGATTATATTTCTTCGAACATATTTAATGTAGTTGATTGATTAAATTTGGATTCCTGACTTCTCCGCATCTATCATTAGTGTGCAATGACTCTTGAAACTACCAAGAAGAGAATGAAGAAG